TATACAGGATTTCTTGCCAGTGTGGTTTAATTTACATTGGTCAGACTAAGACAGCCTTAAAATTTCGCGCTAAGGAACATGAGGCATGTATTAAAAAAATAGGACATAAATACTATGTTGATCAGAAAATTAAATTTTCCACTTTTTTGCAGCCAAAATTATTCAATAAACATCTTTCGTTGGCGAAATAGATTTTCTAGAGGCGTTTCACGTTCATAAAATATTTCACCTCTAGTTAACGATTTTAATCTTTCTTTACCATCAGCGGTTAAGGAAGTTATTTCATAATTGTTTTTATTTTTCATTAATAGAGGGCTTCAGTAGCTTGACCCTTCTCTTACCTTATCACTAGCTTGTCTTTAGTCATTTGCATTTCTGCAGCCGAAGAAGGTTTGATGTTTAAACCTTTGAAATTAGTCCTGCAACTTTATGATTACGCCGATTCTTGCTGTTTTAACTCCTCCAATAATCATTATTGTGTTACTTTAACTACAATTTTATAAATGGATATGAATTGCACAGAAAATTCGAGAGCAGATAAATTATCTAAAAGTTTGATAACAAATTTTGAAAATGCTGTGGATTGGATGATTATTTTAAAATATCAGATGTTATCAAAGCTTTTGTCTTAGAATATAAAGACAGAGTGGGATTGGCATATTATTTACGCATGTCAAAGACAATCAGAAAGATTTCTCATTGAGAATGAACACTTAATTTCTGGGATGTCATATCTAGATATCAGATGTTATCTGAAAAGTTTACGTTTAAAAAATCCTTCTAAACTGCATTAGGAAAAAATTTCAGAATTTCAAACTTTTAAGTGATACTTTCATTATAAAGAACTTGAGAAAATTAAATAAGTTCCAACATATAATATATTATCATAAAGTACTACAAATACATAGAATACAGAAAAATATTGGAGATGAAAATATAACTGAAATTATACTCGTAGTTCTTTTCAAAGTTTTTACATACAAATATGCTTTTCATTTTTTCCCTCAGAAACTAATTCATTATTCGAAAAATCAAGCCTCGGAGTTATGAAAAATATTCTAATAAACACAATACAAAAATTGGGGTAAAGACATTGAAAGCTGCAAGAGACAAATATTTTAATTGTTAAATTTTTTAAAGAAAATTTTGAGTTAAAAAAATACAGGGTAAATATGTTTTCAGCTTAAAATCATTTTGTCAAATGAAACCATTTAATACTATTCATAAGAAATAGATGAAATTTCTTAAATAAAAAATCATTCATGAAGTACCAAAGTGATTTAAAGAACCAAGACTACAACCTAGAAGAAATTATGGCTAAATTAGGTTACAGGCAGGGACCTCTTTTTGTTATCTATGATCCATTGTGTCTCTAAACAAAACTGTGGGTTAGGAGGTTAACAATGAAGACAAGGAGAAGTTATTAAAGAACCATAAAAATGAGTTCAACAGGAAAGAATCATAACAACTTCAGCAGCAGCAACAAAGGGCGAATGTGGAAAAAATGTGTTCAGAAGAAAGTTTTTATTCGGGTTTATTAAATTATGTCTTCAGAAGAAAGAAAAATCACCCATGTTCTCTGATACACGAAATTTGGGCACGTTTTCACATAAAGATATCACGCTGAGAAAGCAAAAGCAAACTACAACATACACATTTTCAGCGATAAAATGCCATGTCTCAATTTAGGAATATTTTAAAACGTAGGCAGCAACAAATCACACTGGAAAAATTTTAAAGCAAAAGAGGCCTACTGACACTCAAGCAGAGTGGAGTGACGCTTAGAGACAAAGAAAAGATGAAGGCCCGTCTACACGTAGCGATTTTCTCGGCCGACAATATCTGAGATAGCTCGCCTGTCCACATGGAACGATTTTCTCGTTAGTACAGGAATTCACTCAGCCAATCACTATGAAAGGAAGTGTTCCCGCCCTCTACAGCGTCACACTGTCTACGATTTCTAAACAAAGCTTACGGTATTGTCAAATAGTCAAAATAATGGATGACTATCTTAAATTGCTACTATAGATACAGCTACAACTTTGAACTTAGCTACTGCTACAGAAGGGGAAAAAAATGCGTTTGGACCAGAAATTGGGTCAAACGACGAGAAATTCATAGTGCCTTCAGAATTCCCAGCTCCGGGAGTTGCGTATTGAAGACACAGTACAATTCGGAAAGTATTTACGGATGATGCCGCGTGATTTTGATTTTTTGCTAAATTTAGTTTGCAGGAAATTTTTTTTTTAAAAAAAAGCTTCTCTTTTGTGTATTGAGTACATAGATTACTCCTTTTTTAGTTCATTTATTTATTTTTAAATTTCACTTTCTGGCACTCCTATTTGTGCATTTAAATCTTGAAATAATAAAACCATGTTTCAGAAAAAATAAGTAACTACTGTGCTTTAAATCAAAACCTTTATTAATGAATAAATAGATAATAATGTCACGAATATCAAACCAATATGAGTAAAAAGTATTAATAAAGATTACTACATTACAAAGCAACAGTGTAATTTCAGTGCAAAAATTTTAAATAAGAAATATCATAAAGGTGCAAAGTCTTAAGTAGTATATTTATTGAACATTAAAAAAACTAATAGTCTGGAAACTATGATTATATGACTCTATCAGTTAATCAGCGAATACAATTTAGCGATATTGAATTAAATTGGGCTGTAATTCGCTTTCGCAAAATTCAATTAACACAGAACTGAGTCTGTGACTTTTGACTTTCTTTTGACCAGTAGATGTAAAACATATGCCAACGGCCATTCGAAAAATAAAAAGAAAGACGTTAAAATTCAATAAACACCCCACCCGTAGGCGAAAAAATAAAACGTGACTTTTAAGTCATGCAGTTCGAATTTAGTGATGGAGAAACTAAATTAAAAAGTTCTTCCAGGCGCAGAAAGTCCAAAATTAAGGTGGGGGATCGAACCCACGATCTCGACGTACGGAAAAAAAAAAAAAAAACCTAATCTGCTCTTTACCACTAGGCTATGATCGCTCGTGTAGGAGCTGTCGGAAAAGCTATGTACTTCGTCACCTGATTAACTCCCATTTTGGGGCCAAGTCAATTGAGTCTCTGCGCTGCTTTATTCTCGACTGGAGATTTTGCTTTTTGAATTTTTTCAATAAGTGCGACCACAGTTTCAAGTAGTTTCTGAATATTTTCATCTAGTACCCATGACATGGCATCATTAATAGTTTTTGGAACTTTTCTTGGGGGAGTTAAAATCATTTTCACCCGGAATTAGAAAATATTTGACTATATAAAGTAATGGGGAAGACAAATCTTATCAAAATAAGAGAATCCCTTAATTTTTTATTTTTAAAATTTACATTACTCGTATCCCACAACACAACATTTTCTCTATAGAAATCTATTAGTTGAGTTTCGCTCCAACGAAATGCAGCCATGTTTATTTTTCCAAATGAGGAGAAAAACACGTGATCACTCAAAGCAATCTTATTGACTCCGATTTTATTTTATATAGAGACCCCGATTTTATCGTACGCTAGTGAGCAGTGAACACCAGTTCTGAAATCGCGGCAGAGAACATGACCGATTTTTGGCGCATGCGCAGATCCTTAAAATTGTTGCTCTACGAGAAAGTCGGCCTAAAAAATCGCTTCGTGTAGACGGGCCTTTAATCTGATGTTTAAATGGAAAAATTTCGCATCGAAACAATAACGTTTTTCTCATCATTTTCCAATTATTATGTCTCCTTTGTAAAGTAAAATTCAATTTTCATCTATTTTATTTGTTTAATAATTTGCTTATACATTTTTATATTTAATGATTTTCATTGGACTTGTCCACAAAATACTTTCAGCAGGCTCGTACGCAAAAGTGTAAATGATCTGTTGTTCAGGAACGTATTCACCCCTTTTACATTAATTCCTCTTTCAGCTTACGAACATTTCGGTTGACAAGTGGCCTTCAGGAATGAATTGAGTTCGCGAACTGAGGTTTTGCTGTAAGCCAGTGCGATGAAAAAGACGTCGGAAACTGTTTTATAAAGCAATTTTGAAGCTAATAATATTTTAGCAAATGAAACGGAATCTGAACGATCAGTGCAATACAGGGAATTATGTTAGTAATGGATCAGTGCAATACAGGGAATTAATTATGTTAGTAATGGATCAGTGCAGTACAGGGAATTATGTTAGTAATGGATCAGTGCAATGCAGTGAATTAGGTTAGAAATCGGATCATTTAATTATTATTATTATAAAACATGAATGGGCTGACCATTTTGAATGAAGTGAAGCTTAAAAAAATTTTCCCTTCATTAAATTCAGTTACTTCCTACATTTTATTAAATCGGTATAAAACTGTTACGTACACTTTAACCTTGTAATAAGAATAGCTATTAGATGCATAAATTATGAAAAAAAAATTGCCATTCATCTAAGGCAGTGTGAACTTTCAAAAATGTGATGTGAACTTTAAAAAAGTATTTAAAAGCATTTTGATTCATTCTTATTTATGCAATATAACTAGGAACTGTTTTGTTCGTCAGCTGTACGTCTTTGGAATTAAATATCCTACCATTTCATTTATATGGTTATTAGAATTTAGCAACACACAGACGGGCTATATGCCTGAGGGTAGAGGTGCATTCATTGAATTTTTGAGGGAAACTGGTTCACATTTTTGGTTCTGAGATTTAAATTAATATATATTTTTTCAGTGTCTGTTGCTCTATTATATGAAACATGAATTACTTCAATCGCTAGACCTGTTGCTTTTGGAAGAAAAGTCACATTTGAATAATTAAATTTTAAGAAATGAAAGGTCGAGAGAAATTCAGGAGTTAAGTTATTCATTTATTCCTTTTTTCATATTTTTATTTTCCCCACTCTAATATTTAATTTTTTTTTTTAATTTACGATGAAATATATACTATAATACTAAAAATTATGTTTAAAACTGAAAATAATTTCAAGAAAGTACACACACACACACACTAAAAAAAAAAAAAAAAATCAGATTACTGCAGTATTGTTTTCACATTTATTATAATAAATATTAAATCACAATAAATACACAGGTTTTACACAACGAATTTCTATTTAAATTTGTACTTTTCAGGATCAAAGCTCTCTCCAGCATCTTTCTCAAGTTCTTCTAATTCTGGATAACCTAATTAACGAAATACGAAGTGTAGAAACATTGAACATATATTCAGCATCGTTGAAGAAACTGATAAGAAAATATTTATAACATACCTTTAATGTTATGCTTCCTATTTTCAACCTGAATGTTATCCTAGAGGAATTAAGTTATTTATTAAAAATGAGTATATTAAAGAACACACATGTTAACACATTTTGCATGTAATAGAATTTTGTAAATACATGCACGTTACACATTTTCTATCACTTTTGATTCTGTACACTGGCATGTATCCCATTTACATTACACATGCAGTCCATAACTTGAGCTTTCTAATGCAATGATATTCAGCTTTTAGTTTGCCGAATTGGCTATTAACAATTAATGTTAACATTTATTCACTGTTGGTAGTTAATTTATTTCCCTCTTATTAAACTATTTAAGGCCCGGTGGCGCAGTGGCTAGCACATTGCGCAGCAGCACCACAGGTCGGGGGTTCAATCCCCGGGCTGGGCAAAGCCGACTCAGCCTTTCATCCTTTGGGTCGATGAAATGAGTATCAAGTTCGCTTGGGGACCAAATACTGGGAAGGGGGTGTCCTGCGACAAGCTGACCACTTGTTCAGGGCATATGCTTACGCACCCTGGAGCCCACGGTCAAGAAAGCATATTTCGGGGCACTGCAGGCAATGGCCCACTAGGGCTGTTACACCACTGAGTTTAGTTTTTAGCTTATTAAACTATTTATTTTTTAGCGAATCGATTCTTAAAATTTTTTAATCTTACCACTGCTGTTTGCCTAGGAAAAGATGGATTTATATTGTCGGCTCTTAATATTGATACTCCCAGGTAAGCTGTATGCAGTCATTGGAACCCAAGTTTCACAGTCTACAGTTTCCCAAAGGCTTTATGAGATAGGACTGTATGACAGAAGACACACTCTTTGCATCCCATTCACTGCAGCACACATGAGAGCACATTTAGCATCGTGCAGCCAACATGGGACTTGGCCAGATTTCAGTGAAGTACCTTGCTTTTTACAGATGAGTCTAGATTCAGACTGGACACTCATTTTTGTGTACATGTATCTGGAGACAGCCTAGAACATGATACCATCTCTCATTCATCAGGGCTCATTATTGTTGTGGAGGTATAATGGTTTGGGGAGGTATTATGTTGGCTGGCAGCATACGCCTACATGTATTTCAGAAAGGCTCCCTCAGGGTTCGTACACATTTTTGCACACGGAAATTAAGGCCTTTTAAGGACCATTAATGAAAAAAAATTAAGGACCTATGAGCAAATGGGAACTGAATAAATTTAATTAAAAATATTATTCTATGCCTGAATTTCACCTTTGTAATATCATCCTAAAAATAAAATAGATCCCTAAGTAGTATGCATTATTACTAAATATGAATTAAGGAACATAATTAGTAATAAGTTTGAGAATAAAATAAAACTCCATGCAGTTTACCAAGTAGCATTAAATATTTTACATTTATAATGGGTTTGACATATTTGAAAGAAGATATGTGACATTTACGTTTTACTAAAAGTTAGCTTTATGTTGATTTTTTATGCCTCATTTTGTCACATACTTGGTCAGTCTAGAGGAGAGGTTCTCAACCGGTGGTACGCAAAAAAAAAAAAAAAAAAAAAAAAAAAAAATAGGTGGTACACAAACAAGCAAAGTATTTTGAGCTATTTATTTCAAAACAGTAAGTGGTAGTAGTGGTACTAAAGGTTTTCAATTTTTGTTTAGATGGTACATGTTAGTCAAAAGGTTGAGAACCACTGGTCTGGAGGTTTAGTAAATAGCAGGTAGATTTTATGTCAAATGGCATAGGTTAAAATGAGAAGCAAGATCATAATCAGCATCATTCATAACAAAAGACTGAATGTTATCACCGCTGCTGCTTGTCTAGAGAGAGACCTGCTGATTAGAACAAACCTGAAAGGTCTGATGTAGGCACGGTTGGCAAGTGTTGAAAGCTAGTCAGGCTCTCTTTGATGCAGTTAGTGTCATAGCTTTGTGTAGAGTTGCAGGGGTTGTAACCCAGTTAATATACTTTCAGGTTCCAATAAGCCATTAAAGCACCAGGGATGATAAGTTGTTTTGCATTATTTTAAGTCTCACTAAGATGCAAAGAATAAGTTATACTTGAATTTCTACATTTTTGTGTTTTATCTTGCGATCACAGTGTTATTAAGAAAGGCAAATAACTCGCTTAATATGTAGAGATGTAAGCAGTTAGTTTAAATAATTAAATTAGGTAAATAGTTAACCTTAGTCATTATGGATTTACATGGCCACTATTAAATTTTTTAACAGTATTTGTTAAAAAAGGCCTATTAAAATCAAAATCTGATAAAAATTCACAGTTTAAAATGCATGTAATTTACGACACTGATTCTTAAAGGATATTCGAATAATTACGCATTGAAAGCTACAAAACATTTATGTTTTGTAACAATAACACCCAACAAAATATTCATCCATAATTTTAATTTGAAGCCTTCGCAGACATTTTTTCTCATTCATATCGATTTCCTTCTCTATTTAAGTATCTTTTCTAACAATTAGAGATTTGTCTCAATATGCAAACCAATGCTCTTGCTAGTTTCTGCGTGCTTTATTTCTTAACTTGTCAACCTCTTCACAATGTACCTATGAGGTTTATTTGATCTGGTAAAAATTAATAGTCCAAAACCCCCCGATAGAGTGAAGCAAATTATCACTATGTCCTGAAAGTAACTACAATATCAGACAAAGGTTTAAAATAAGCCTCTAATTAAAAAGAGCTTAGAAAAAACATAAAGGCATGTTCTGATGCTTCAATTAATCTCATGGTGATGTAATTAAACAAAAAACAGTCAAATTCAAACTAAAAATGTGGGCTAGTGGTCAAAGATTATACAACTTAATTTTATTTAATCGGCTCCGGAATTCTATCTATGAGAAACAGAAATGGAAAATTTAGTAAAGGCTGAATGATCATAAACAAATGTGTAAAATTTACATAATAATACTGCACATATCTTGAAGAATAATTCTTTATGTATTCACTTTCTTTTCAGCATGTCCTTTTCATTTTGAATTTTTTGGATTTAATTAAGGATTGATTCTGTTTTCTAAAAAAAACCCCAATGCATTAGAATGTATAGAAAAAGTGACTAATTTAATTCTTTAGTAATATGGATTTCAGAAGAATATGAAATATATATTGTAAAGGCCAGTTACAGAGCTGGTGTGCAGAATTTTTTAGATTTAGTGACACACAAACAACAAAATCTAGAAGGCAAACTTTTAGAATTTAGGACAGGCATTGGAAGCAGAATTTAGAAAGGCCTATGCAGTTGAATTTAGGATCCAAGAGATTGCATCAGATGGGAAAAGCTTAGTGCCATTGTGTATTATGCATTAAGACATATTAGAGGATCTTTTAAATTGTAAGTTTTCAATTTCTTTATTAATAAAAAGAAAAAAAAACCCTTTCTATAATGCCTGCCCAAGTGATAAGATTAGAAGCATTCTTGATATTTTCCATGCTTGTGTCTAGTGAAAAGTAGAGAAAATAAAGGGAAGATAAACATATTAAGAAAAACATTCTAATATTATGTCTTTATTGTTCTTCCAGATGTTCTCCAAAAAGTAAGAAATTCATTGGAAACTTTCTGTAAAATACATCCATTACGCGTTGATACCATGGAGACATTTTTCATTTTGTCACATATTTATCGAATCTTCTAGAATCGTGGGTCTATAAATCTTGCCTTCAAATCTTTCTAAATTCCAGCTGCAATGTCAAAAAAACTCAGAAAATTATCCCCAACCAATTAAACAGCAAAAAGCCGAATATTTTGGAAAAAAAAACAAAAAAAAAAAAAAAAAAAAAAAAAAAAAAAAGAGGGAGGAAAAAGTGCAAAATTAATTTTACAGAGAAAACTGATGCATATTCTGAGAATTTTGAATATTCTGAGACAACTACATGGGAAATATGTTACTATGAAAAACTTAAAACAAGAATTTCTAATTCATACATAGGTTAATTTGTTTTGCTAAAGAGATGTTTATAAATTAGGCTTTATAGCATTAAACCTGTTATTTTCAGATACAAAATATTGTATATAAGTTGCCAAAATAAAACTTTATAATATGACAGCGAAAAATAAAAATGCTTTATTTTAATGTTATTTTTTAATATAATTCCAATATATTACACATAAAATCTATCAAAATTATGATGTTTTAAAAAAATCGTCGAAAAACTCTCAGATTTCGGAATTAAAAATTTTCTATAGAAACTGATCTTAAAATTGCCAAATTTAGAACCATTTAATAAAAGAATTCACATCCCCAAAAGCGAAAATTGTTTAAGAGCTCTTTATTACAAACATGAATTTCGAAAGCTTATGTTTCCTTCTTGTTAGAAACTCGAGATACATCATTTAATTAGAAATAGAAACAAATAATACCCATGATCCCATTGAAAAGATAAACCATATACGTCAGTGAATCGCCAAAAATATTCCTCTAAAATGCCTAATTACATTCAAAAATGGCAGTCGTAAAAACAGACAGAAATTTCAGATGATTAAATTAAGGACTACCTTCTATGATCTTGGACAAAATTAAGGACTTTTAAGGACCAAAAATCGATTCCAAAAAAATTAAGGACTTTTAAGGACTCTTAAGGACCGTACGAACCCTGTCCCTGGCTGCCACGAGGTACACAGAGATCTTAAAGGCTTGTTGTTTAACTTATCAGGTGCATCCTAGGTTTCGGTTAATGAGAATGAACGAGAATGCTTGTCTACACAGGGCTCAGTCAGTCAACAATTACCAGGAAAGTGAGGATGTTCGCTGCATGTATTGGCCAGCCAGATCTCCTGACCTAAACCCTATAAAGCATGTCTTAGATACTTTTGGGAGGGCAATTTCATCTTCCGAGATCCATCCCACAGTGGAAAACTGCCTTGCTGCAGGAGTAGGATCGACTGCTGCAGGGAATCCTCAACTGCCTCCAGTCCAGTATGCTGTCACGCTGCACGATCTGTCTGGCTGTAAGAGGGGACAATACCAGACTCATTTGCAGTTGAATATCACAACGCAGATTTCGGGCATCCCTGCACAGTGAGCTTTACTGATAATCATACATACATAAAGTCACATTTGAACAGTACATTGCTTTCTCTGCTATAAATGTATATTCATAACAAATTTCCTTATAATCTATCCATTAACTTTTTAGAAATTTGTCATAATGAGCAAATTCTCTTAATTTTTCACATGAGTGCAGCAGTCTGTTTTAGATCATTTATGCAATTAACCAATTGAATTGAATTACATCAGCTTCTAGATTGAAAGGCCACAGGCGGTCGAGCGTAAAAAACTGCTGAACACAGCTAGTTCCAAGTGGGTTCAAATGACGATGAATAGGGTGACTGCATGGAAGTTTTCATATTTTATCCCATAGGTAACGTGAATGCACGCCATTTTGCTCAAAAAGTTTACAACATCTCATGTTCTAGGGTAACATAAAAGGTACAAGGTATCTTGAGACTTACGTGAATTATCACTAGGTCATGAAAAATACCTCAGAGACAGGAAGAGGGTGTAAAGGACCCTTTCATTTAATTAAAATAAAAATTAACAGAAGGCACTACTCATGCTTACAGAAGCCAGCATTTATGGCTTAAGTCAGAGGTACTGAAATTGACTAAGTAAAAGGTAATTTAGCTTAATGGCTACACAAGTAAAGTAATGCGGAAGTTAGCTTCGAACTATAGTTGGCATCACAAACTTAACCCTTTGCGGCACAGTGTGTCCAGTGTGAATTTCCTTCTGTACGCACAGAGAAATTGAATGAAAAAGGAATTAGAGGTTACTATAGGTTACTCTGAACCTTCTTTATATATAGTAGATGGCAGCTCAACACAAACCAGTCCATATATTTTAGCAATGTTTAGTTTTCTAAGACCCTCATTTTTCAAAGAAATCTTCCAGATTTTTTTTAGGGTATAAAAGGAATTGTTTGAAAAGAAATTTCTATGTTATTTTTTTGGCTGTATGCTAATCTTATTCTATATTTATTAGTTTTAAATTTTTACCTTGAAATCTTGCCTAAAATCAAATGGCGAACCCTAGGTGTGCCCAGACCAGGCTCACCGATAATCTAGGACAGCTGAGAGTATTCTTTGTTTCTCCGCATCTCATCGGTCAGTTCATTGACAACAATACTAGTTTCAGCACTCTTTTCTAAGCTCTATTCAATCAGTCTGCCCACTTTGGGCACACCCACATAATTAAACTACATGCTATCTTCACAAAATTTTACTTGTGTACTCCTCTAGGCCTAATTAGACTGCCTACCTTTTTTTTTTAAATCAAAACTCCAACTTTAAAAGGTAGCGTGCCGGAACGGGTTAATGGTGAGAATAATACAAAGCTGCAAAATACTACTCCCAAGAGAATCAACATTAGTAACGTGATCTTC